GGCGGCTGCATGGCACAGCTGTGCGCCTCGCTGGCCCTGGGATCTTCTGAGTGCGTCCTGCTGGCGGTGATGGCGCTGGACCGCGCGGCCGCCGTGTGCCGCCCGCTGCGCTACGCAGGGCTCGCCTCTCCTCGCCTCTGCCGCGCGCTGGCCAGCACCTCCTGGCTGGGCGGTCTCAGCAACTCCGCCGCCCAAACCACGCTCTTGGCCGCGCGGCCGCTCTGCCCGCCCCTCCAGCTGGACCACTTCATCTGCGAGCTCCCCGCGCTGCTCAAGCTGGCCTGCAGCGGCGGCAGAAACACCATAGAGCGCCAGATGTTTGCCGCTCGCGTGGTTATACTGCTGGTGCCATCCACCGTCATCCTGGCCTCCTATGGCGCTGTGGGCCACGCCATATGGAGCATGCGGTCCAGCGGAGGCCGGAGGAAAGCTGTGGGCACGTGTGGCTCCCAYCTGACAGCCGTCTGTCTGTTCTATGGTTCTGCTATCTATACCTACCTGCAGCCCACGCACAGCTACAACCAGGGGCCCGGCAAATTCGTGTTGCTCTTCTACACTGTGGTCACCCCTGCCCTCAACCCACTCATCTACACTCTCCGGAATAAGGAAGTGAAGGAGGCAGCCAAGAGGCTCCTGGGGAGTCTGGGGAGAACTCAAGCCAGGCACTAAGTGGCTTTGGAAGGGGAAGAAGGTTTAGCGCAGAGCCTACAGATGGAAATGCCCAGTAGACAGTTGCATTGGTCTTGGGGCATTTCATTTTCTTATGAGAATTTTCAAGATTTGTCCTTAGGGAGACTAAGGCTGGGAGGAGGTTGCGTTGTTTTATCAAATAAGGGTCAAATTCTTCAGAGAAAATGCCTGTATCATATATATTCATATCCAACACACACACAAACACACACACACACACAGTGGGAAACCCTCCCCCTACTCAGGCTTTCTCCTACACCAATGAAAAAAGAAACCATAAGGGCGGGCATGGGGCTTCCTCATCCTTAGAAGATAGTCAGAATTTCACATGCAGTTAAGATGATGAGCAACACAGTGTTTTCTGGCAGTCTGATGAAGACTATGGAAGATTCTGTGGGCTTTGCCATCAGGCATCTCTCAACAAGGAAAGCACAGGCCCTATCCATCCAGAAAAAGGAACCATGGTCTCTCTTCTTGGGAAACCAGCTCAACCTAATGCAGATCTAGTCAGGTGGCCAGTACCCACCACAGCAGCTCAGGTGGCCAGTACCCACATGGCTCATAGGCTATGAGGAATAGCCATAAATTGAGGGAATTATGCTGAATGAATTCAGGTTAAACGCATAGAAACTCTCCTACAAGAGATGGTCTTGAACGAGTTTAAAAGAATGAACCAGAACTGATGGAGAAGGAAGATTTGTTTGGGGTTATAAGAAAAACCTACAAGTGACCAGTAAGTGAAACATGAGAGGCAATGAGGGGGCTGGGGTTGTGGCCCATTGAGAGTGCTAGCCTAGCAGTGTGTGAGTCACTGGGCTCCATCCTCGACACCACATAAAAATAAATAAGTAAAATAGACAATGAAATAGAGGAGTACATTAGAGGTAGGAAGGAACCCAAATTCCCAAGAGGAGCAGAAATCCAGTGATGAAGGGAACATTGGAGKAAAGGCAGAAGCCAAGCCCTAGTCTCCTCCATCCAGAGCCATATGCCCAACCTAGACCCTAAGGCTGGCAGAGCCAACACTGGTAACAATCCCCTGACTTTCAGAAACC